TGGTCCCACCAGGACCCACCTCCACAAGTTCCTCCACAGAAGTTGATCCCACCAGGACCCAAACTCATTGAAGCTGGTCCCAGCAGGACCCAGCTCCACCAGGAGGTCCCCGTGTCTCCATGGAGGCTTGGCGCCAATGTGCCCACTGGCTGGTGGCCGCGCGCGTCCTGCCCGCCGGCCACCGGGCCAGCAGCGCCGGGGGCCAGGTGTGGGACCTGGCGCAGGCGCTGCGCGACGGGGTCCTGCTGTGCCACCTCCTCAACGCCCTCCTGCCCCGCGCCGTGCCACCGCGGGACATCTGCCCCCGGCCACAGATGTCACAGGTGAGGCCCAGCTGGGGACAGCGGTGGTGGCCCCATGGAGGGACGTGGGGATGGGACGGGGACAGGGACAGGGGTGGGTGAGGGGGACAACGGGGATGGGGACGTTGATGGGACAATGGTGGGGACCTTGATGTGGCAGTGGTGGGGACCTTGATGGTGATGATGGGGTCCTTGAGGTTGACAATGGTGGGAACGTTGATGGGGACAATGGTGGGGACGTTGATGGGGACAATGGTGGGGACGTTGATGGTGGCAATGGTGGGGATGTTGATGGTGATGATGGTGGGGACGTTGATGGTGGCAATGGTGGGGACGTTGATGGTGATGATGGTGGGGACGTTGATGGTGATGATGGTGGGGACGTTGATGGTGGCAATGGTGGGGACATTGATGGTGATGATGGTGGGGACGTTGATGGTGACGATGGTGGGGACCTTGATGTGGCAGTGGTGGGGACGTTGATGGTGATGATGGTAGGGACCTTGAGGTTGACAATGATGGGGACGTTGATGGTGACAATGGTGGGGACCTTAATGGTGGCAGTGGTGGGGACGTTGATGGTGACGATGGTGGGGACCTTGAGGTTGACAATGATGGGGACGTTGATGGTGACGATGGTGGGGACCTTGAGGTTGACAATGGTGGGGACATTGATGGTGACAATGGTGGGAATGTTGATGGTGGTAATGGTGGGGACAATGATGGTGATGATGGTGGGGACATTGATGGTGATGATGATGGGGTCCTTGAGGTTGACAATGGTGGGAACGTTGATGGTGGCAATGATGGGGACGTTGATGGTGACAATGGTGGGGACCTTGATGTGGCAGTGGTGGGGACGTTGATGGTGACAATGGTGGGGACGTTGATGGTGACAATGGTGGGGACGTTGATGGGGACAATGGTGGGGCCCTTGATGGTGACAATGATGGTGACAATGGTGGGTGTGGATGAGGGTGGTGGCCATGATGGGGACAATGAGGATGATGATGGGGATGTTGGTGTTGTTGGTGGCGGTGACATTGATGGTGACAATGATGGATGATGATGGTGGCAATGATGGGGACAATGGGGACATTGATGGTGACAATGATGGGTGTGGATGAGGGTGGTGATGGGGACAATGGCGATGATGATGGGGACATTGGTGTTGTTGGTGATGGTGACACTGATGGTGACAATGACAGGACTGGTGTGATTGAGGGACACAGAGTGATGATGATGATGATGATGATGATGATGATGATGATGATGATGATGATGATGATGGGACAATGAGGATGATGACGGTGGGGACACTGATGGTGACAATGGCAGGATGAGAACGAGGGCAGTGATGACGCAGTGATGGTCACAATGACAGTGACGATGGTGGCCACGGTGCCAAGGAGGTGACAAGGACAAGGACGATTGTGGTGTTGACCGGGTGACAATGATGGTGATGGTGGTGGTGGTGGCACCAAGTGGGTGACAATGACAGGGACAGTCACGGCATTGATGGGGTGACAATGTGATGATGGTGGCAATGTTCATGGCGTTGACAATGACAGTGACAACATTGGTGACAGACATGATGGCAGTGCCACTGCTACCACTGGTGACAATGGTGGTGATGTTGATGGGGTGACAATGACAATGACGGTGATGGTGGCGATGTTCACAAGGTTGACAATGACAGCGTTGGTGACAGAAATGATGGTGGTGCCACCACCACCGTTGGTGGCATGGTCACAGCCACGGATAGACAAAGGCGCCGATTTTGATGGTGACAACGGAGGGTGCCAGCGATGACAGGGGTGACACTGGGTGGGGGGGGATGGCAGGTGACACTGGTGACACCGGTGCCACCACAGTTCCTGTGCCTGAGGAACATCCGCACCTTCCTGACCGCCTGCGCCGACAAATTCGGGCTCCCCAAGCACCGGCTCTTCGGCGCCTTCGACCTCTTCGACGTCCAGGACTTCGGCAAGGTCGGTGTGGTCAGGNGGTGCCACCACCACCGTTGGTGGCATGGTCACAGCCACGGATAGACAAAGGCGCCGATTTTGATGGTGACAACGGAGGGTGCCAGCGATGACAGGGGTGACACTGGGTGGGGGGGGATGGCAGGTGACACTGGTGACACCGGTGCCACCACAGTTCCTGTGCCTGAGGAACATCCGCACCTTCCTGACCGCCTGCGCCGACAAATTCGGGCTCCCCAAGCACCGGCTCTTCGGCGCCTTCGACCTCTTTGACGTCCAGGACTTCGGCAAGGTCGGTGTGGTCAGGGGTCCGGTTGTCCTGGGGGGTGGGACCCGGGGAGTGGGTCACTCCTCCCTGCCCCGATGTCACCTCCGTGTCCGCAGGTGATTGAGACGCTCTCGACGCTCTCCTGGACCCCCATCGCACAGAGCAAAGGACTCACGTGAGTGGACAGGACTCGGGGG